TGGGCTGCCATAACAAAGTTATGCAGATGGGTACAGGAATTTATTCCTCACAGACTGGAGGCTGAAAGTCCAAGATCAAGGTGTCAGGAGGGGTGGTTCCTCCTGAGGCCTCTCTCTTTGTTGATGGAAGTGTCTTCTGGCATCTTTTCTGTGTCTGTGTATCTGTGTCTTATTCTGCTCTTCTTACAGCACCAGTGCTATGGATTAGGACCCACCAGAATAGTTTCATTTCAACACCATCAGCTCCTTAATCACCTTTTATTTCCACATATAGTCACATTCTGAGGTACTAGGGGTTAAGACTTCAACATATGGGTTTTGGGAAGACACAACTAAACCCATAACATTGCCACTCCCCAATTTCTGGAGGCTCGGTCTTCAGACCCCTGGCCCTAGCAGAGCCTTCCAAGACTCCCAGAGTAGGGCTGGTGGAGGGACCTTGGGGCTCCCAGGCTCTCAGGGTCTCCTTAGTGAGTCACACATGTACTTGTTTCCTAAACATGTCTGCTAACAGGCACATATGCTCACACACACAAATGCTCTCTTTCACGCACACATGCAAATACACGCACACTGCCTGAGGGCACACATGCATTTTCAAGGCCTGTGCAGTGTAAACTTGTCCTGAGGAGGGAAATGACTTCCAAGGAGCTCACAGTCAGTAAGTCACCTGGACATCCTTGGAGCCAGGAAGCCAAGGGTGTTTGATTTCTTCCCTTCTTCCATTTTGGTCTTCCGGAAAAAGCAAAGTAGCTACCACCCCTTGCTGGTTTCCTGGGGGTTTTGAAGCTGCTGCTCCTGTACAGATTGGCCACACAGACTCTCCCAGAGCTGCCTCTGGCCTCCGGGCTGGGCCGAGGGCAGGAGCAGCGTGGCCTCTTCCCCAGATTGCCAGCTCCCTGGGCATTACCAGGCTGCCAAATTTTCAAAGATTTGCAGGGGGGTTGAGGGGGAGGTGTCTTCACTTTCTCCTTTCCCTTCTTTTCTTATTTTAGCTCATTTATGTAAATAAGTGGTTGCCTAAGTCAGACTTGCCCAAGGTCAGCCGGAAATGTTGTGGGTCAGAGCCCTGATGCAAGCTCAGGCCTCTCACTGTAGAGAATGTGAATGGCAGGGTGTGTGGATGTGCTGTCCGCCATGGCCAGTGGTCCATACCTGGTGCATTGGCAGTTAGGGGGTGGCTGTGACTAGGGAGAGGTGGAGGGGAGGGGACTAGCTCCTGTACATGGTAGTACCCCCCAGGCCTGCACCCAGGGAATGCTGAGGCTGGTGGAGGAGATGGCAAGTCCTCAGAGCATCCCTGAACTGAGCAAAGGGCCCAAGAGAAAGTTTGCCCAGGGAGAGGGGAAGCCCTGAGGAGAGCTCTTCACCTCACCTGTGGGCCAGGAAAGCCTCCTGGAAAAGATGGTGCTTGAGCTGGTCTTGAAAACCAAGCAAGAGTTGGCCTGAGTGGGTTGGGAGGAAATAGCATTCCCAGAACAGCTTGTGGAGGCCAGAGGCATTGGAGAAAGAAACCTTCTGGGGGTGACCAGGAGCCAGGAGGCACAGGGCCCTGGGGCCCGCAGGAGATGGGAAAGGGGTGGGGTTGGGATGCCAAGGCAATGTGCGTTTCAGGAAGGGTCCTCAAGGGCCTGGGGAATGTGTGGGACAGAGAGGCGGAGTAGGCAGAGAGGTAGGAGGCCATCAGAGGAGTTCAGACAGGAATGGCAGCCGCTTAGCCAAGGGGGTATGTAGTGGGATGGTGAGTTGTAGGGTGGGGGTTATCTGTCCACGTGTCCTGACTTGGTGCTGGGTGGAGAGAGTGGGTGCCGTGCCTGAGTGCAGGCATCTCTGTTGGCTGGACTGGGAGACCGAGGTAGGGATGGAGAGGATGACTTCAGAGGGGACTCCTGGAGCCTCCTGTGTGACCAGCTTCCCCTCCCCCCAGTGCTTCCCCTTCCCCTGTGGGTCACAGTGAAGCTGAGCTGGGGTGGTGGGCGGGCTCTGCTTTCCCCACAGGCTTCTTGGAGAAGAATCGAGACGTGATGAGCACAGATATCCTCAGCCTGGTCCACTCCTCCAAAAACAAGTTCCTGAGGGAAATCTTCAAGCTGGAGTCGGCAGACATGAGGCTGGGCCATGGAACTATCCTCCGGGGGAAGGCGGGGAGCCAGTTCCTCAAGGTGGGCTGTGGCTTCCCTTTCAGGGCCTCTCTGTCCTCAGGACCTTGGGCGTAGACAGGCATGTGCAGGGAGAGCCTGTCACCTGGGGTCTGGGTTTCTCAGTCGGGGCACAGAAGTGAGTGAACAGGAGTGTTGCTGTTGCCGGGTGGGCAGGCTTGAGGGACAGGTGCACAGGACGGTGCCCACCTCTGAGTGTGTGTTCCTGCTAGGGCACGTGTGCTTTTGCTAACATTGTCATGTGTCTATATTGGTCTGTGTGTGTGTTCGAAGTGCTATAAGTGTTGTGTGTGCATGGCTGTGTGTGGCATCTGTGGGGGTGTGTATGGTGCATGTGCTGTATGTGGTGTGCATGGGTGTGAGTGTGGGTGTATTTGTAGTGTTGCCAGCGAAAGTGATAGGCTCTTTTGCAGTGTCATGAGAAGAGAATTTCAAAGACACAGACGTGAAGTTTAAATGTGATGGAAAGATTTTATTAAGAGGAATTAATACACCCTCGGACGTATAGGGTGGACAGTCACTAAACACTTGCCAGGAGGCTTTTGTTAATCCTCCATACATCTTCTTGGTTCAGGTAAAGGGCAGAGCACCATTCGAACTAACCCAAGTTTCTAACTTCCCAGGCCTGGGCTGGGCCTTCCTCCCAGCAGATTCTGTTGGGGTTTTATGTCCTCTGTCCAATCCGGTTACCTTTCCAGTTGTTCCCAGGCTAGGCCCTGCCCCTCTGTTTCATCACCCTGACTCACTGTGCAGGTCCAAAAGTTCCATTACATCATGTAGTCCACTGCGCATGTGCCCAGCAGAGGGCAGCCTTTAGCGGCCTAGGGAGACTTTCCTGTCATCTGAGGATTAAGTCTCCTCTGTGGCAGTTTCCTGGAGTGTTTGTTTACCAGTAAACTAGCTGGCTGCTGCTGCCCTGCTACCTGCTTTGGCTTCCCAGTTTATTAAGATTATTTAGTCCCTTTTGCTTTCTTCCTCATATTAATAACTAGCTACCTACGCTGACAGTAGGAGATGGGAGTGTGTGGGGGGGTGTTGTTGCTTTTTGCTGATCATCACCCGAGGATATTATTTCCCTCAGTTTTCAGAGAGAGCGGAGGGATGTTAAGAGACAGAGAGAAAGAAACCTCGATGTGAGAGAGACACATTGATTGGTTGCCTCCCGCACCCCCTGGACCAGGGCCGGGGATTGAGCCTGCAACTGAGGTATGTGCCTTTGACTGGAATCGAACACAAGACCCTTCAGTCCTCGGTCCAATGCTCTAACCGCTGGGCCAAACCAGCCAGGGCTGTGTGTGTTTTGAGTGGTATGTGTAGTATATTGCATGGTGCATGTATGTGTGCATGTGGTATGTATGTGGTATGTGAGTGGTATATTTGGCATGTATGTGACTGATATGTGGGTGTTGTGTTTGTGTGGTGTGTGTATGGCATATGTGTATTTTTGCTACCAGAAACAGAACTTGACCCTGAGCCAAGGGCCAGACCGTAGTGTATGGTTCTTGACTTCGTGCAGGAAAAATTTCGCAACACGAGTCCAGGTGACTATGAGGGAACGTTTATTAAAGCTGAGGACAGTAATACAAGAAAGGGCTTATCACAGAAGAAGCAACAGGAGAGCCTAGGCTGGGCTGCCTGAGGTCTCTGGGAAGTCAGAGGAAAGGGGCCTTGGGGACAGGCTCAGGGGATTAGCCTGGGACGAGCTGCCTCTGCCCACTGCTGCCCTGGCTGCAGGTCTCGTGGGGTCCTTTACAGTTTAGGAGATGCCTGCCTGTGGGGGAAGAAGTGGGGAAAGGAGAGGGGGAAGGGAATGGCGGGGCTGCTCCCCAGAGGGAGAGCATGCGCTGGGTCCTTTGTCTTGAGGCTTTTCTCTCTCTTGGAGGCAGGAATCTTAGGGGACCTTAGGGAAGGTCTCAGGGGAGGGTTTCAGCAGAATATTCCTCAGTTTTTCCAGGTGTGCTCCTTGAGGGTCCTGGTCTCCACTGATTGGTCAGCGTCAGGGCAGGGGGTTGTCAGTCATTGCAGCTGGTCCTGGTGTTGCCCACCTGGTTTTGCTGCTTTTCTGGGTCTGGAGCTGAAATACAACTGAGGCCTAGATGTTATCTCTAGGGAGGCGACCTTCTGTATCTGCTGTAAATTGCTTGGCCAATTTGCTCAGCTGTCTGCCTCAGTTTTCACTTGTCTTACTGGCCTGTCTCACTCTGACCCCTCTCAGGCTTTGCCTGCCTGGGTAACACCCTCCCAATCTGCCCCTTAGACTGGGAGCCAGGGGCCTTGCCACCAGAGGCCTCCAGGAGCTGGGCCCTAGGCTGGCTGAGAAGTTCACAGGACTCACCTTCTCACCTCCAGGACTCAGGGCCTGAGAAGGGGGCAGAGCACCTTGGTCTTCCGCCCTTTGTGTGAACAGATCTCTCGGTCAGTCGAGTTGCCTTCTGTTTCGGCCCGCCCCGGGCCATGGGCTGACCATGCGGCTCTCTGCCCCTACTTCTGTCTGCAGCAGGGGTTCACAGAGTCTGATTCAGCGGCTCAGTGAGACGGCTGACTTCACTGGCAGAGCGAGTGTGCAATTTTGACCAAAACTTTTTAAAAAATTAATATTTTCGGATGAAACAATATTTGTCTGGGATTGGCTTCAAAGTAGTACAAGAGGCAAACCAAAATTCACCAGGAGCAGAAGCTGGAAACAGAATTGTGGGAGTTCATTATGCAGCTGTAAAGCACAGGAACCCCCTGAGGATCACGAGGAAATGCAGATTCTGACTGAGCAGAGCGGGGTGGCGCCTGGGAGCCTGTCACTCAAGTGACAGCACTGCCGGCCTGGGGGCATACTTTTATTTACACAAAAGTAACATTTAACCCTTAATAATAATAGTAATATTAATCATTACAAATTTGAGTGTGTGCTATGTGCCAGACACAGTATATTTTCTAACTTAATTAAATGTCCTAAGTAATTTTTTAAAACTAGTTTTCATCACCATGAAATTAATACATATTCACTATGAAAATTTTAGAAAATTTCAGAAAAATATTCTCAGAAAAAAATTGCGAGATATTTTTGGAAGAAAAGACCTTCTTGGTTGAAATTATACTGAATAGCTCCAACATATGTCCTTTCCTGTGACTCGTAAGCATGCCCACACGCTGCAAGCCCCGCAGACTTGGTGGTAATGGCTGCATCGCGTTTTCTGGCTGGATGGACCATAACTAATTTGCCCTGTTTAGGTTACTTCTGATTTTCCACAATTGCAATAATAAATAATGCTTAAATGAGCAGAAAACTGTGGAGAAAGCTTTTTCTGATTTTAAGATTATTTTCTTAGGCTAAAAGCAGGATAATCCTGAAGTTTTTGATACCTGTGCCAAATTGCTTCCCAAAAGACTAATGCAGTTTCCCTCCAGCCAACACAAGCTCGCCGCTCACAGAGAGAATGTCACAAGGCATCGCGTCAGCTGGTCTTTTTCACGCATCTGTTATCACTGAGCACTGCCTGTGACCCTGGAATGAACCAAATAGACCCTACCTCCCAGGGCTAACAGCTGAGCAGGGTCAAAAGACAAACACAGCAATAACTAAGACAGTATAGACAGTCCGAAACCACAGGGGACTTGAGGGCAAGTGCTGTGGAATTCTGCACAGGGAGAGACCATCTCTGTTCGGACTATCCCAGAAAGTAGGCCTGTGGTGGGTTTGCAGGAGAGTTAAGATGTGCTGAAAATCTTATTTTTCTCTTGACTAATTCCCTGCATACTGTCTTTGCAGTGGTGAGTCTGGGGCGGGGAAGACGGAGACCACCAAGCTCATCCTGCAGTTCCTGGCCACTGTTAGCGGTCAGCATTCGTGGATTGAGCAGCAGGTCCTGGAGGCCAACCCCATCTTGGAAGGTAAACTGTCACCTCAGGACCAGCCTCCTCCCTAGGCCTTCTGAGTTGTTTATAGTTTCTAGTGCTTGTGAATAAAGCTGCTATCAACAATTGCATGCAGGATTTTGTGGGAATATGCTTTTCTCTTAAATAAACATGCAGGAGTGACACTGTTGGATGGTAAGTGAGCGATTTAACGTTTTCAGAAACCGCCCCCAGCCTCGTCAGCACGTGGTGCTGTCAGGTGGCCTTCTGCACTCTGTCCTGAGCCAAGAGGCATCTCACCGCAGCCCTCCAGTGCCTTTCCCTCGCCGCCACGGCTGCTTCTCCTGTGCTCATTTCCCGTCCGTGCAGCTTCTCTGGGGAAGCATCTGTTCACAGCTTTTGCCTGTTTTTTGATTGAGATGAGTCCTTAGTTATGATTTTGTAAGAGCTAGTTCTGGATACAACTAACTCTTACAAGATCGGTGTTTTGCAAGTATTTTTTCCCCAGTCTGTGGCTTGTTCTTTTATTCTCTTTACAGTGTTTCTGTAGCGTAGAAGTTGAGATTTTGATAAAGTTCAACTTATCATTTTTTCTTTTATTGATTATGCTTTTGGTGTTGTAGCTAAGAAATCTTTGCCTAACCCAGAGATTTTTCTCTTATGTTTTCTTCTAGATGTTGTGTAGCTTTAGGTTTTACATTCAGGTGTATGACCCACTTTGTGTTAATTTTTGTCTGTGGTGCGAAGTATCCGCTGAGTATTTACTCTCTTTTCTTTCCTTCCTCTCTCCCACCCTCAGTTCCTTCCTTCTTCCCATAAGGATACCCAATCTTTTCAGCCCCATTGTCAAAAAGACTATTCTTCCTCCACTGAATTGCTTTTGTACCTTTGTCTAAAATCAGTTGACCATACATTAGGTCTATTTCTGGATTATCTAATCTACTCTATTCCTCTCTGTTTATCTTTTCTGCAATACCACACTGTCTTGCTTTCTGCAGCTTTGTAGTAAGTTTTGTGATCATGTAGCACGTATCCTCCAATTCTGTTCTTTTTCAAACTCAGCTATCCTAGGTCCTTTGCCTTTTCATATACATTTTAAAACCACCTTGTCATATACTGTTCTTTCGTGAAGAGGGATGTGCCACTGGTTTCAACAACATTAGGCAGGTTTCTGAGTGGCAGCCCTTCTCTGAGCCCCTGCTGTTCACTGGGGTTCCTCCAGGGCAAGACAGTCAGTTTGACCAAGGAAGCTTGTCCTGGTCTCATGGGGCTAATGCTGCACCGTGGCACAATAATTTCACACTGCACCCCAACCACCACTGGGCTGTGCAACGAGTCTAAATAGCATAGAACAGGAAATCCCCCAGCACACTGCTCTTGGTAAGAACCATGCTATTTTCTCTTAATTATGGGTGCAGGTGGGGGGTGTACGTACTAGGACCTTCCTTCCTGTGGGCCACCTCTGAAAAGCCTTAGAGAGAGCTCTATGGGATGCCCTTTGGTTCATGTTGCAGCCCAGTGCCTCCTGGGCTGACCTCCTCTGTGCCCTGGCCTGTGCCAGCCCCTGCCACTTTCTCCCTGCAAGCTTGCCCTCTCTAACCCAGCCTCCACTCTGCAGCTTGAGTGATCTTTCTAAAATACCTATCTGCTTCCACGTTCCCTCAGAAGCTTCCCCATCTCTCCCATCACTTGTGGAATTAAAGCCAAATTTCTTAGCCTGGCATTCAAGGCTCTGTGCCTCTAAGGCCCATCTACTAATGAGTTCTTTGTCTTCCACTGCCTTCCTCCTGTACCTTGTGCTCCAGCCAAATTTCCCACTCTGCAAGCACACCCCATGCTTCCTGACCTCCAACCCTTTGCCTGCACTTAGCCTTCCTCTTAGCAAACCCTTGGTTGCCACCACTGTCCAGTGCAATCCGACCTAGTCTTCAATTCTGGACTTCGCCACCTCCTCCGAGAAGCCTTCCCAGATGACCCTGCCAAAAGTACCTTTTCTCCTCTCTTTTCCGATCACGGGCACCACCCTCCGGCCCTTAGCTTTTGGAAATGCCAAGACGATCCGAAACGACAACTCGAGCCGCTTCGGGAAGTACATTGACATCTACTTCAGCCCCAGCGGGGTGATCGAGAGCGCGCGCATCGAGCAGTTTCTGCTGGAGAAGTCCCGGGTCTGCCGGCAGGTGAGGCGCCGGGCGC